TGCAGCTACTCACACAGAGGCAAACTGAGATGTAAATGGTGAAACTTGTCTAAGTCTGGTTGAGGCCTTGAGTTTCACTTCGATTTGGACATGTTCATGACATTTTTCCTGATGATTCCGGATGAACATCTTGGCAGCCACAGGGGGGCACCCCTCCAATGCTTCCACGATGTCGAAAGATGTTGCCCATTTTGGTGCCGTGAAATCCTCAGAAGGTAGGGAGGTTAGGGGCAACTCGGTGCCCCAAGGGTGGCGTGAGGGACAAAACTTGTGGGCTTTGTCAGTCCTCTTTGCATCCGAAGGAGGAGAAGGAAGCAAGAAAGACCGAAGATGACAACCACCTGGAGGCGTCGTTGATCCAATAGCTTGAGGCGTTGATCCTCGTTGATCCAATAGCCTGACATTTGCAACCATGTCAACGTGTGTTTCCTTCAACTGCTTACTGCTTACAGCCTCATGAAGAAAACTTTGTGAAGAAAACTGGGTAGCAAACTTCAGGAGAAAGCTCATTATAGATGTGACCACACTTGACCACTACAATTGGACAGTAGACGCAAGGGTCTCAGGGTTTTTTCAAGATCCTCGGTCGAAGGGGCCCGATTTGGGTCCTGCAGAGCTCTATTTCTTCAATGTATATTAAATGATGGATGATTTTGATCAGGCAGTCGAGAGTTAGTCAACAGCGGTTTGGTCTTGTAGCTGCTTTCGTCCTCTCACACAAGCACCGGGTGAATGGGTTTACGTGACTTCCACCCCAGCCGTGAGTGCTGCAGACGAAAGATGACAAGGAAGAAGAGTCGCAGCTGATTGAGGCGAGCTGACTGAGCTGAAGGGATGTGCAAAGGGTCACTCCAATCGCAGAAGATTGCTTTTTCACCTAGTAGCAAGTGCATCGCTACTAGTAACAAGGCACCTTACTAGTAACAAGGTAACAAGATGCTACTAGTAGCTCCTGGCATTAGCACTAGTAGCAAGAAGCCACTTTGTCGTTTGGTGGGTTTGTCTCAAAGTAGGGAAACTCAACTCCTTTCAGACCACACCTGAAGAATTGAATAGGCTAAACCTAGTACAGTAAGTGGAAGGGCCTCCCCCCACTGCAATATTCCCCCATGTTCTGACATTTTCTGAGTTTGTTGTGTTGCTGAAGTTTCGCTGGTCAGCGCAGTTCTCAGACATTAAAAAGGTAGGAATCTGAGCACAGTGAGGAGGAAACACTCATGCTTTTGCAAGTAGCGGCAGTTTGTGTCCTCTCCATCCAGCTCGAGGAGGACGAGAAGGACGAAGAGAAAGAAGAGAATCAGAGGGAAGCTGAAGATGAGAACTGTCCGGAGGTTCTTGCATTTGGTTGGACTGGGGGTTGGAATCATCGTGGTCGAGCAAACCTGAGTAATTGTTTAACTCCAGTTAATGAAAATACCAGTCAATGACTATACCAGTATAATGACTATTTAATTCCAGTTGATTACTATGCTAATGAGTTTTATCCTTCCGATTTGAATCTAAATAAACTGTGATCAATTTGGAGCTAAACCTTGCAAGCTCGAAAATAACAGCTCCAGGGCTTCATGGCCTCGAGCCCCAGGCCGTTCACAGGGGATCAGAGGGGTGGATGCCGGACGGACAATGCCGGGACTTGGGAACATGTTCTACCGGAGTTCTACCGGAGCAGGAAGACAGGAAAGAGACAGTGGAAGGGGAGGTGCTGAAGGCTGAAGAAGAATCTTTTCCAGAGGCGCTTGACGTGAAGCGAATCGTTTTGTGCCCTTGGATTTTGCTTGAGAACTCGACTGGGGCAGCACAGTACATATGGAAGCAAAAAGGTGGGCGGCAGCATGTTCAATCAGAAACCATGGTGGCTTGAGAATAGATGGCTCCACTTGTCTTTGTACACCTGCAAAATCCTGCAAACCTGACTCATCTTCATATGCCAGAGTTTCGGGTGTACTGTACTGACCATGATTGACTTGCCACCCACATCGTGCCTCCCACGTAGTGCCAGCGACGAGTCAAAGAATGGTTAAAAGTCCTTCTTTTCCCAATGCGGGTGCGTTTGGCGGTTTGCCATGCCTAAGGGAAGAAAGCTAGTTCCCGGCCTTCCTTCTCAGAGTTGATGGTTTTTCCCGCTCTGCCCGGCATCGAAAAGCCACGTCAGGAGAAGGAAGATCCACCCGCGGAGGCGGAGATCGAGCCATCGGCACAGGCGACCGATTTGTGGTTGGGGCGCTTGGTGGTTGGATGGAACAGTTGGGAGAGGGAAACTGGAGTTGGGATTGCCAGTACCACTCAGGTGAAGGAGAACACAAAGGATCAGAAAGGTTAAAAAGAACAGGTTTCCAGCCAATCACCTGAGATAGTGCTGTGTTTCTTTTTTGTGGATCCAAGTTCCACACATACATTTTCTCACCCGACATCCACAGGGCCCAGCGGAAGACGCTTGTCCTGCATGAGACCTCCATGCAGGACATTCCAGAAGCACTGGACTTGTTACGCAACAGTATGCAGTATGTTTGATTATTTTTGTGTTGTGTTGTGTGTCCAGCATGCTTGAAACATCGTGGGTGCTTTTCAAAAATCATGTGTTGCAACCTGCCATGTTCTGCTACAGGTCGTGGCATGGGGAGATTGTAGGCTTTTCTTCATCTCGATGACCAGCCATCCTTTAGGGTCCTGTGGTCCACCATCCGAACCAGCCCCCATCCCGTCGCAGGCGGATGTCGAGATGACTTCGCCCCCCCGAGGCGGCGACGGGCGGACGCGGGCGAGGTGTCACCCGCGAATCGGTCGGTTGGTCGGTGGGAAAGCACCGGAGATGGGGCGTTGGCATTGGGCCAGGACCGGCAGAATTTGACCAGATGGTTCTTTTGGTTCTTGACTCATTGTGAAGATTATGTGCATCTTGCAGCTCAGCTATACCCAGACAATGGCCTCTCACCGCCTAGCCAGCTGGATGTCCCACCCACAAAACGGTCACAGCTTCCAGCAGCAGGTGTGGTCAATAGAGGTGTCTCAGGCTGCCGCTTGGCAGATCCGAGGCTGCGGAGGAAATGAGGCAGATCCGGTGCATCTATGTTTGCAGTAATCCATTTTTATGTCAAGAAGATTCACTTGCTGGATGAGGATTTTGACAAATAAAGATCCTGCATCACCACGAGCCATGGGAATTTTTCTACTTGCAGTGGATCTACTTCCAGGACTATGCATCCTCAGGTTCTTTTATGGTGCTGCCGAAATTCCTCTATCAACTCGAGCTAATCGTGGCAAACCTATACCAAAGCACCATTTCTGGTCCGAATTCGGGGTTCAGTGATACAAGATGATTATCTTCATCATGATGGTTCTTTGTTCATCAAGGACAAGGACAGAGGACATGTTTTTTCATCACCAAGGATTCAGATGGCTTTGAAAGTCTCACTATAGACACAAGACTATGACTGGCTTCTTATGTTTTTACCACATTAATGGTTTCTTTCTTCAAGACAAACACGATGCCCACGTGCTGAGGAGCTTCAGGATTTGGAGACCTGCGCCAGGAGAGATCGGTTTTTCCCGTGGAGCTACATGGAGCCTGGCTTTCGTGGAGGGGAGTGGAGGAAGTATCAGGAAAGTCAGGGTTTTGATTTGTCTTGAGGGCATGGCCGCATGCTTCCATATAGGAAGCCGATCAAAAACCCCACCACTGCAAGGACCTCCAGCAATCGCAGAGCTCTCCAAATGTAGCCGGTTCTCTCGACGACCTTTGAGTGAGTCGACCATCGGTTCACTTGGATGCACCGTTCCTCGAACCACCCGCCCGCAGGATCACCTCGTTGTTGGCGCTCAGTGATGTGGCCAACTACCTGGCCCAGCAGGCAGCTGAAGAGGTGGGCGAACTGTGGAGCAACCGGGACGGAGGACTGAAGAGGTCGCGCATTTTTTGAGGTCACAAGGAGTGTCAAAAGTCTTTATATAGTCAAAAGGAACGTCAAAATGAGAAGTTTTAGATTCTAGATGTCAAGAGTCTTGGATGACTTCTTTGCATCAACCAGGCCTTTATTCACGGAGGATCAGTTCATTAATACATATCTCTCCATGCGTTTGGGGACGCATGGGGGTCTCCGCAATTGGCCATCCCTTGCCATGTTCTGTGTTTTTTTAAACGCAAACATGTCCACGCAATTCTACGCACACGTCGCATGGGAAATAGCCTGAGGAAATGTCGGCATGATTCCTATGGTCACGTCCACAAGGACGACATCCACATGATCCGTTTTTGAAGGGTCTCTCCACACATCGAGTCTTGGACATCCAGAGGCAGGGCCTACCATGGACTTGCGGGAATCTGGGATGACCAGCCCAGCCGATGTGGGGCGCACCCAGCTGTGCGCCAACGAGAGTGGAACGCGTGGAGGAAGCCACAGGTATTTCGAAAAGTCTGACAGGCTGAGAGGCATCGAATCAATACGAAGGTTTGTAGAAGGAAGCCAGCTGAATCCAGGGAAAGCAGTTGTTCTGTGTAGTTGGACCATGTTGGACCACGTGTGAGACCCAGGCAAATATATACCGTAGTTGAAAGGTCCCATTCAATGAAAAGCCATTTGCCACACCCACAGCTGTACAAACGGCTGCTATTTGGTGGGGGAGGGTACATTCATCAGTTATCATGCTCCAACCCCAGAAGCAAGAGAACGTCCCCATCAACCAGCAAAGGGTTGCTCCAATCAGCCAAGTGGTGGGAGGACGATTCGGTGGATGTATAGAACACCAGGTTGTTTCTTGTTTAAACCTAGGATCCTTGTCCAAATGTCGACCTTCAGTCCCACATACATGATTCTGATATCATGTGTATCAAGGTTGTTTTCCTATAGACATATCCATGTGTGTCATCCTTTTCACTGGAATATTCACCCTTTTTATCCCTTTTTCATCCGTCTCCCCCCAACGCGTTTCCGCCGTGCTTCTTGGTGGTTCAGAGACTTCCCCCGGCGCGGTCTCCCCGGCGGAGAGTTCCCGCCGCGCATTCCATGGCTCCCAGCGCCGACGGACGCTTCACTCAGCTCCTGAAGGACAGGGAAGAGATGGAGAGCAACAGGAATCCTGAGAGGGTTTTAGTTGCAAAAGATGAAACCAGGATTGAGTATATATTATACTCTGAATTGTTCTCACGTGAGAAACATTCATTACTGAATCCAGGCAAAAGAACTGCTGTTCCAATCATGTGTGTCAGATGACATGTGTGGCAGGCTTGACTGTCTCCAAACTGCGAGTTTGCAAGAGATTGAGGTCTTCCCGTCACTTGCCACACCTGGTTATGCTTGGAGGGGGTGCTGCAGTACAGTCCAGGCTAGTTTGATCTTCCCGCCTGGCAGCTCTGCCACCGAGACCTTCGTCCCACCTTCTTCCGGTCGCCCGGGCGGGTGTCGGATGCGAGGAGCTTGAGGAGGTCCATGAAGAAGAAGTCTCGAGACTACGCTGCTTGGCGGACCTGGTGTTTCTTTGTTTTTCTCCGGACGTCAGGTACTCAAATTAAGGTGTTTCTGTTTCTTCATGTTTAAAACGTGTTTCTCATTTTTTGTACAAAGGGCCATAAAGGGCCACAGAAATAGAGAAGTCATGCTGTTTGAAGTCAGTTCCTCTTTTCTTCGGAATGTTGATAAGCTCAGGATGACCTTGTTGTAGAGGGATTTCTTTGAGGCCCCTTCTTTGGAGCATTGTAAAGTTCCAGGGCGTTTTTTGGGGAACAGTCTTCGGCAAACTTTTTTTTCTACCCATCGTACTTGGACATCATTCCAACAGCAGACAGGCGAATGATTAGGCCCTAGGCGAAGTGAGTTGTGCCACTGGAGTGGCTAGAGGCGAATCGCGGCTTAATTTCGGATCATTCATGGACAGAATCCTGCAGCACATTGGGTCGATTTTTGGGTTCTGATGTGAATCCACACAGGTTTGGCAGCATGGCCGGTGCAATCTCACAAGGCCCTCAGGTTTTCTTTTGATTGGTTTGGATCGGCTTGCCAGAGACCTCACCTCGGGCAGAGTGGTCGGCTAGAGGAACGTCTTTTTACAGGATTCCACTGTGGCTTCGAAGATGTTGACGCCTTGTTAGTCGGCCTGTGTGTAAATAAACACTTCAGAGATCTTCGATCCATCTCCTTCCAGACTGAGTTGGACATTCCAAGATGCCTTCGTAACTGACCCTCCAAAGAATCTTGGCGACAAACTAGTTCACCACATGTCCGAACCAATCCTCTCCAAACTTCCAACGGGATTCCAGCCGCTCCGTCCAGCGGTCGGTCCGCGGGGGCAGCGAACCGCGCGCGTTTTTCCTCGGTGCAAACACCACGAGGTGCCGAGCTTCGGGAAGTGGAGGACAAGATGATGCCATCGCCGAGGTTGGGAGAATAGTTTTCTGGAACTGTTTTGCGATCTGTTGGATCGTTTTTGGACGGCCCCACGGAAAGGAGGGAGTTGGTTTGAGCAGGTTCTTCAGTTTGTGGACTTGAACTTTCAGTTTGTCACTTAACTATTTACCCCGAAGAGATCACTTGAACCAGTAAGATTCAGTCAAACTGTTCTTCTTGTTGCTTGAGGTGTGACATGATTCCATGCAGGATGCATCCAAATTACCTCGGCGATGTTTGATCACTATTTTTGAGAAAGGTCTTTACTAGCCATCATCATCATCACCACCACCACCATCATCATCATCATTTGGTGTGGGATATGCCCGATATGTATGACTTCCATTTATACTTCTATTCACATCTATTTTGCTCCGAACAATCCAGCAGTCCGAGTGTTTGCGTCCGCCGCTCCGTGGTCTGTCATGGTGGGCGGTGGGCTGTGGGAGCTCAGGATCTCACCACCGGTGCTCGCCAATGAAGGGGATGCTGACCAGCAGGTGCCGCTCTTTTTGGAATGTTATTCTTCACAGACTTTTGTAATAAGGTCAAAAGAAAGTTGCGAACGTTGTTGTTGTTGTTGTTGTTGTTCACTTTTAACCTTCTTTTTCATAATGCGTGTTCATGGTTTCAAGGGATTTCCTGCCACCCATGGTGAGAAGTTGACGAATGTCACTGCACTGTATGAGCTTGACCGCATGTTATTACGAGCGGATTGACAGAGGGAAGATACCAAACAACATCAAACAAACAACTAAACGATCTGAATCTAAACGTGTTATATAACTATATATTTTCCTACTTGGAGGCCGCCAGCCCAGTGTCTGCCGCAGGAGGTCAAGGAAGCCAAAGACCAAGCAGCGGAGACCTTGCTGATCCCCGTGGAAGTGAGGCATGTGGACATTTGGATGCAGATCGCTCTACCAGCACCCGACTTCAAAGTTCACCACCTGGAACGAAGTCCACTAAAGGCCTCCAAGACGGACCCAGAGAGTAGCCAGGTCTTGGCAGTTTATGGAGAATGTGTTCGTTTGCTTTTGGAGTGTGTGAACATGTTTCAGATGTTTCGTTTGCTTTTCAGATGGTGCCACACCAGCAATGATCGAAACGCTGCTGCTAGTGAGTCGCCTCCGTTCGTGTTCAGCAGCCGTTTTCAGGGCCCAAATCATTCTGACAAGGATGGGCACGGAAGCGCTCCGTCACGAGCCTTCTAGCCTTCAGCTTTTTGTGCCGAAGGTTTTTTTAAAGAGTCCCCTCTTCTGGTGGAAGGTCAGGTGGATTGTCATTGCATGGGGAAACATGTTATTGTAGCTTTATCCACCATAGATGTTGATCTGGCCGTTTCACAGGCTCACTGAAGATGTTTTTTTTGCTGCTTAAGGTTGGTCACCTCAGTTTATGGCTTTACGGTTTTATTGGGTGCGGCATGTTGCCCTTCATGGAGAGCCAGGGTAGGACAATCCTATTCTATGGACAGGTTTTTCTCTATAGAATGCTTGGCAACAACGATGCTCTATGTGCTGGGTATCTTGCAGATATAAAGTACGTTTGTAGTCAATATGACATATGTAATTATGGTGGTTGGATTTCACAGGAGCTCAGGCAAGAAGAGAAGATACATTTAGTTTTTCAATGAGTTAAGAGCCGTGAGCAACTCACTTGTTCCAGGAAGTAGCGATTCTCAGCGATTCGTGACCCAAGGACTCCTCCCGTTCAGTGGAGAGCCAGGAGAGAGGTGGGCCCGGGCCCAGCCTTTGGGGTTGAAGATGGTGCAACACGGGCGCCGAATGGATCAGCATGTCAATCAAGGTGCTTTAGCAGTTGAAAAGTCACCGTTGAGCAAAGCCTGCCACAACAGCATCAACCCCAGGTTTCTTCTTAGTAATCAACTTCACCCGACCATGCAGAAGGTTCAGAATTTAAGTGTGCCTGTTGGATCCTCCTTGGGCCTTTGAGTTTCCAAGGTCAAGTTCTTGTTCAAATTTAAGTGCCCATCCGAATTTAGTTACAGTGGGAAAACTGAAGGAAATCCTCATGTCTTCAGTCTTTAGCTTCCAACATTTGATTCCTATAGTGATGGAAGATGTTGCAGCAACTCAGTTTGTCCTTGTCAACCCTGGAAATCGCTTGTGCAATGGCGCCCATCTCCTCAATTCCAGAGCACTCAGCCCACTGCCCGGTTCAAGCCGAGTTCGGCAGGTTCCGAGGAAAAGGATAAGCTCAAGTTGAAACCGCCCACCTTGAACCTGTATAGGCACTTTTTTGGGCCGGAACGCAGATTGATTGGGCTGGGTGGTGTCCAAGCCCTGTGTTTTGTTGTTGGTTTTTCCCTGAACTTTCGGCGTTTGTTATGTTTGTTGTTGCATGCGTTTGTGTGGAGTCGGGTGCTTGGAGTCCGTGATGCGCACGTTATTTGTGTTATTTGTGAGTGGTGTTATGCATGACCATGCGTCACCAGAGAGACGAGACTGGTGGTGGACAAACTCCACGGAAACACCTTGACCATGCCAATTCGGTTGATGCCCTATTTTGCCAAAGAAGTTGTGCCTGAAGTACCTCCAGTGGTGCAGGGTTATGGTTCATATTGCAATTTATACTTATACATGCATGTATTTGCTGGGTAGCCTCATGGCGGTGAGTTCTTTGTCTTGTCAGACTTCGGCATCGGAAGATCTAAGTGGGTGACCCAACGAGTTCGCCATGGTGGACCGGGTCAAAGCACAAAACATTGGTCGGCAATGGGTTCTCCAAGACCTGGGGTGATGCTTCGTACCTGCTTAAGTCTTACGTACCTGCTTACCGAACACCTCATGATGGAAGCAGTGCGTGCAAAACGCAACCCGATGGAAAACGCGTTTTAGCTTCAAGAGTCTCAGATTAAAAATCTGTCATTCATACATCAGCCTGATCCCCCCAGATGCCAGACTCCCATTTGCTCGCTCCAATGCCTCTTCAGGGGCAGCTCCAATGCTTCCTTCGTTTCTTCTTTGGTTTCGCCACCCATCCCGGAAGAGGAAGAGGATGATCTGGAACACCCAGCCATTGCCCTGCCCTCGCGCATCGGTGTCTTGGACCAACGCAACGCGACGCGCCACGCGACCCGACGCGACGGCTCGGCTCGGCTCGGGCAGCTTTCGGTGTCAGGAGGACTCCGACGCGACGTTACGAAGCGATCGCCGGCCCACACTGGGGAGCATTTTTGGTTGGCTCAAGTGGCCACCCGTCTCTGCCTGTGAAATGGGAAACCAGTCGGTGCTTCGTTTAGCCTCTCAACAAGGATCCACTTGCAGAGCGACTGGGTATGAAGGTGAAAACGTGGTGTTTTCGGTCTCTTTGGGTGTAAAACGCACGATGGACAGGAACGCCTGGACATGTGTGGTGTGCTCTCGTGGGATCTCATGGGCAGCTTAGACAACCTCTTTGTGGGGCCTCACTTCGAGATGGTGGTGGCCATCTTGTTGTTTGCTGCTTGGGCATCGGTTTCAGATGGACCTGCATCCGGAAATTCCCCGCGTATCATGTTTTGTTCTCCAAACACACATGTGCCACACCTACCTCTCCAGGGGATGGAGTTACTACAGCTGGCAACCAGTAGCTTCGAAGACTAGAAGAATACATGAATACATATAGACCAACCTAGAAACCCTCACCGGGCTACATTTACAACAATATAAGAAGTTGTTTGTTCTTTTGCGCCAGGGGTTTGGCTCAGGATCCAACTCTGCAGACACGGCCAGAATCAAACCACCCCAAATATGCGTGGAACTTGAAAGCCAGCACCAGGAAGTGACGAACACAGAAAAGTTTGAATGAATGCATTGACAGCATTAAGGAAAGAAACTATATATTAAGGTTGGCTTTTTACTATTAATGTGTCTATTATATCTATACTTGAGGTATTTCACTGCGTCCATGTGGAACCGCTGTTTCTATTGCGGCCTTGGGTAATCGAGAACATGTGCCAAGATTCCTTGAGCTTCAGGAAGCGAGGGTATCACCAACACGAGCTTCCAGAAGATCCTACTCTTTGTACCTTTAAGTACGCTTGATATACATACAATACATATAATATAGTTATATATATTATATATTATATATTGTATAACTGTTGAACCCTCAGAATCCCGGCAATCGATCACAGCGTTGAGGGCTTGCCTGCCATAAGCATCAAAGACAGCAAAAGAAGGGAAAACAAAGACGAGTGTTGGCCAGGGTAGTTTCAAGGCCTGTTGCTGATCCAAATTGCAAAGATGTTGAAATCAACCGATAGGTAAACAAACAATCTTTTGGTCGACTAGTGGATCGCCGCATCAAACAATCTTGATTGGCAAGCTTTTCTACATAAGTCTTCCGTCTTCCTGTGGGATTCTCGCAGACCATGAGGAGGTGGCTTTGCCAAAACCCCCCCAAGCTTATCTCCACACATCTCCACACCCTAGCGGCCGCGCAGCTGAGGTGAATCTGATACTCATGGCCTCGCAGTTGCAATACCATGGCCTCGTAACTGCATTACAAGCTTTGCTGGAGGCTTTGCAAGTCGCAGAGGGGATGCGAGACTCACCATTCAAAGGCAAAAGATGTGACCTCCTGGCTACTGTTGTGCGGGAAGTCCTTGCGGTCCTTGCACTGTTTTGGTGTCAACTGCTGGGGGCAGAATGAAGGGCTTACATGGGAGTTCTGTCAGTGGTCCACCAGTCCACCAGTATGTTTTTTTCCCTTTTTTGTAGCTCAAGTGACGAGAAGTGGTGGATATAGTGGCCACTGTTTGAAACTCTGGCGGTATCCTTTTCAAAACGGTGGTTTTTTTGCATTTGCAGCATGCATTGCGCTGGGCTTGGTGCGTCAAAAAAACTGTTTGACCGGGCTCTTCTATATAAATCCCTCGCAGCTCCTTCAAGAGCTGTCATGAATCCAAGCTCGATTAGACTAAATGACAGGAAGTACCATAGCAGAAGCTCAACCTCCGCCCGGGCCTCTTCACAATGCCTGTCCTGTTGTGCGGTGTAGGTCCTTTTTTGTTCATCAAACTCTGTAGGTTCGGCGCGAAATCCGCGTGCTATCACCGTTGGGCAAGGCTTCATCACTGGATATGAGATCGGATATCCCCGGTATGACACGAGTCCGAAGGCCGCTGGGAAGCTGACTTGTACTCATTGATGAACAGATCTCAATGTTCGATCTAATTACTAGGTTTCTTCAAAAAATAACACCAAGTCGACTTGGGTAAGGTAAGAAACTGGCCCCATGCGGAACACCTTGGGTATGGTAAGAAGCTGGTTTTGCAGGACTCCTGGCCCTATGCGGAGTCATTCTTCATCTGGGGAGATGCTTGGCATGCGAACATCGAGCCGATGGAGAACGCCTGCCTGCACCACGTCTCCCCGAGCTGGGCATGGCTTCTTGGGCGGCCCCCAGGGGGCCACCGTCGGTGTCACCAAGCTGACCTCCGCGCAACCCATGGTTTCGATGTTTCTGTGCGGAGATGCCTGCGGCTTTTGGTCCATCTGAGGACATCACCTTTGCGGTGATTTTCACCTTGGAGATGCTGGACGAACATTCCCGTCGTGTTGCGTGGGGCGGAGCGTGGTGCTTGGGTTGGCCGTCTAGGTGTGAATGGGAATTGACACGCGATGTGTAAGAGGATCTCTTGTGGAGGTTTTGGTTTCTTGGAGATCTATGTGTTGCGGCTGGTGTGAGTCAAATCGTACATGGTCCAAAAGCTACAAAGTGAACCAGGCTCTTCTGGCCACAGCTGGTTGTTTCATCCTAGTTCTTCCCCATCCTGGTGCGGGGCTCGTGTTTGCTATCCTCGACCCACCCTATCCACCTGGTCATGCTGACAGACCCGTCTACGCTGAAGATCTGAGGATGATGGTCCGATTACTGAAGATCCGCTGGGCCTTCTTCAATGCCTTTCTGAACTGGCGACTTGGGTCGCAGATGTAAGACAGTCGCAGAGGTCAAACTAGGTGCCTCCCATTTTGGGAGGACTTGCTTTGATGAAATGCTCTGCAGGGGGGATGGTGGATGCATACGTTGATGCATTAGCTCATGTGATTTCAGTCTTCACGTGTTGTTACCAGAAGGTCCACTAAGAAGACTTGGGGTGCATCACTATGCGGATGATGCAGTAAGATAAGAAAACTGTTCAAACAAAAGGTCAGGTAGATCGAATATATTAAATAGATCCAATCACAACCTATTGAAGTTGATCAGAAGGTGAGACAGATGCTGCTCCGGACTCCACATCGCTGCCATCAGAACGTCGCCAACTCTCCTTGGTGTCCCAGTTTTCCCCCCAGAAATCCAGGGATCTACGACACAAAACCGCTCATTCTTACACAACCGCTCGATTTGTACTCACCCATGAGGTACTCTTGCCTGAGTCATATAAAGTCATAAGCAAGAAGAAAAACACATCGCTCCTTATGACTAGAGGCATTAGTTCCAAGCTCTTCATAGATCGAGGTTGTACGAAGAAAACAAAATCTACCGAACTTTTAAGTACCTGCAAACTTGGTACCTGTGCATGGGAGCAGTATAGGTTCAAGGAGCTGGAGACAAGGATTTTTCCCTATACCACTTCCATACCACTGACTTACATTCCCCATACCACTCCTATAAGGATTTTCCCTATACCACTTCCATACCACTCCCATAGAATAATGATATATACCTGGTATATAAAGCCTCCCATAGTGGAGGTACCACTTTGATAGGTACTTAAAAGTTTCCTTGACAAAACGCATCGGTCCTTCCGGCGACAGGATTGACTTCTTGGTCGTGTGCAGCAGCTGGGCGGAGCTTTTCGCAGTGCCTGGGCGACCGACCGGCGACACGGATCCTCGCGCGACGGTTCCTGCGTTTGATACAGAGACACCATTAAAACACCTTAAAACGCGTTAAAAGAAAAAACGCAGGAGCATCTCTAAAACTTGAATATCATCACTTCGATCAACTGATTTCAAACTCACAGCTGCTTGCTGCTCTCAGCCAACCCATCAACCGCGCCTCGCCCGGCCTCGCCCCCCAGGCCGCCTTACCGATTTCGCCCACCTTCCTGCGGATGCTGCGGCTGGGAAAGCTCCTCCGAGCCCTACGGGTGCCATGAGCTGTGCAGAGAAACCTTGGGTGGGGTACTCTCCCTGGAACTAACATGGAAGTGGTGTTCACCACCTGTTTGGTTCGTGGCACATGGTCTTCCTTACGGGGCCTTGAGGCCAGGTACTCCACGTAACCATGTGAGTTCCAAGGGTGGACAGCCCGGTTTCATGCGGTGTGGATGGAGATGTATCTCTCGCGATGGAGATGGACACAGAGCGGGGTTTGGTATAGGATGTGTAGATAGATGTCATTACAAGGAGTAGCAACAGCCATGGCGTCCTGTCAGAATATGTTAAGACTTTTGACCGAGTGAATGGGTCGCCGTTGAAGAGGTCGGTGCACCGGCTGGGTGTCCGATGTGCTAATGTTAGATCAGTTTCCCAGCTTTTCCCAGTGCCGCTCGGACATCCCATCCTGATGGCAAGCTCAGGTGGTGAGGATGTCTGCGGTCTTAGAATCCTTGCAGCTCTTGGTGAAGCTTGGACATGAGGTTGGTGAAGGTCCTCGGCTCAGGGGCCTTGATTGTTCAACAAGCTTCAACAAACAGTTTTCCACGGTTTCACCCCATGGAACTGCCATTGGGGGGTGGGAAGATATAGGCACATCATCTCCTTGCCAGGTAGATTAAAGACGTGGGGGAGTCTTCGGAGTTTTCCCTAGGTGATTCTGCTTGTGATTGTAGCCCTGACCCCCTCACAAGACCGACCAAAACCATCCAAAATCTCCTGCGTTTCCCTGTCAAAATGCACACCCAATGTGTTCCAACACAGCTAGCAGCTATGACAAACAGAGATTCTTTGTGCACAAAGACAGACTTCCGATGGTCTCCAACCTCGCTGTGTGAACGAGGGGCGTTCATTCAGCTAAAGACTGCTTTAATTCCTTCTGTGGTTTCTTAGAGATCCATGAATACGACACCAGGCTGAAACCTGCAAAGGAGTTCTTTCTCTCACCCTGCCACCTGCCACCAGCGCCACCACCCATCCTGCAAGGAAGTGCATCTTCGCCTCTTTACGAATCCTGTTTTGGTCCCTGGTCCTCCTGATGGTCATTCAGCAACTCGGCCGAGGGAACGGCATGGAACAACGGTTTTGGTTGTTTGAATTTCTGATGTCTCCGAGGCTGGAAATGGACAGTTCGGTTTTTGAGGCGATTTTGGAGGATTTGATGGTTGGTCAAGGTGAAAAGAAGAGTTGGCTCTTCGGTTTGCATCACTCCTGTCAGTGATTGGTCTCAACTTGTTGCTATTGGTACAGTCCTCTTTATCAACCACTTCAACCAAGATGCAGGAAACTTTGGGCAGTACGCCTGGGGATATCATTCCAGTTGCCCTGCTAGCTGCTTGTTGGCCACCACCAACATCAAACGTCAAGCAACCCACCAACGCCCAATCCAGCTGAACGAACTCCGCGGAGCATTCGCAGCCTTTCTTCGCAGCGCTCCGCAGCGGGTTCCCATGGCCTCAGGTGCAGCGCTGGGATGACGATCTCCTACATGTTAAGCGACTATATGGTCAACCCCGAAGGCCGGTCGAAGCCAGACACACCTTCTTCGCGGGAAGTTCGGTTAGGGCGGGTGGACTATAACTCTCTTTTCGGGGCAAAATCTGGAATGAGGTCATGTTTAAGTTTAGTTGCTTGGAATCATAATCGCGAAGAGTCGAAGGTCGGAAGGTTGTAGAAGAATTGTAGCTCCGTGGCATGGCTAAGGGGGATGAGATCTAAGACTCTTGCAAGCTTTCACGACAGACATGGCTGGAGAACAGGCTTTGCAAGAATGATAGCTCAGCTGAGGATGACCATTGCCTTTTGTCTCTGTGGAGGGGATGTTCACACCTCTGAAGAGGCAGAGTTTGTGTGAATAGAACATCATCACCATCACCCTCATCGTTGTCATGTAATTGATCTCTTCCCTGGCTGTTAGTCTGTTGAGGTGATGCCGCAGCGCAGTTCGAGGTCTTTCGTACCTTTGGCGGTGGAAACATTTCGGAAAGCTGATAAACGCCAAGGTCTGTTTGTCAAGACCATTGAAGCAAATTCGCATCAATTTCTCAATTGATGTTGGAAAACTGATGCCAAACAAATACCAAAAAGCCATGAAGCCAGGCTTGAAAACAGATGTTGGTAGGTACAACACATTTCATATTGTTGCCAAGTCACGTGTGCATGCAGCTCTTTGTGTGTATGATGTTCTTGTTTAATGTTACGTTTTACTATATGTTTAGACGGTCACCGCAGGTATTGCATACAGACTGGTGAGTCAGGAAGTTGCTTTGTCAGGAAGGTCTTCAGAATCCTGCTTGCGAGGTTGGAGCTGGCTTGGAGCTGGCGAGCAGTAATTGTGATAGACAATGACCTTCCAAGGTCTTCGGACGGTGCCTGTAAGAACTCTTTTTTGGGCCAAGATGCCTAGAGGACCATGATGAAATTGGATGAAGCCAGAATCAATCAAGCGCAGCATGCCAGCATGCGCGGCCCATAGATGAATCAAGTTGAGCCCTTTCTTTGCTCACTATAGAAGAACAGAGCCCAAACGGTGGACACATCTACAGAGCCCAGGCTACTATGGAACTTTCACGAAGTGCCTCGGCCGCTTTTTACTTGTCGCTCCACAGGCATCTCAATCCTTGGTCGTTTCCGAAAGGTGTTGCTGAGCCTTGTGAGGAACAACAGGAAAGCAGGATGTAGCAGCATAGCATCTCACAGAAAAGTGAGACATCGGAGAAATGTGAAGAACATTGACCCTGAAGAAGAACCTCTTGTTCTTCTTTAGAATTTGCTTGGGTCGTATAGCTATCCCGCTCGTACCATTTTGCACGTCAATGCGTCTCAGGACCTTGCTGACGATGTTTGATGCTTGGAGAAGTAGGACGTCTCGATCCTTCCGTTGAGGACGGAATGTTAAATCTCCCCTACTCACCATGTTATCGGACACAATACGGGTCCTGAATTCCACATCTGATGGAGTTTGTCCTTTATCATGCAGCATTTCCCCAAGTTCGCTTCCGCGGAACTATATATAAGCTGCTAAGACTCTTGCCAGAAGGTCTTCCGCGCAAGAATCCCACAGGGGGAGCACGCCAGAAAAGTCTCATCCGGCATGGTTTTATCAGGTTTTCATTGGTGATGAAAACAGCGCCATGCCATGCGTGTAGATTTTGACAGTTACCAGGGATTCTCAGAGAACGTGCAGTATTGTGCATGTTCTTTGGAGGGCGCCTGAAAGCCGGGACGAGTCCGTGTCTGGTCATCCGATTCCCAGTCCTGTGCTGCATGGCATGTCCATGGCATGTCATGAAGTCCTTTGGACCTCGTGGTGCGGCATGGAAGCACTGGAAGAGGTCCACATGGAAGCTGAAAACCACTTAAGGTTGTAGAGGACCGTCGTCTTCCAAAGGTCCATGCCATCAGGTTCCATATGGGTCTCTTCCCGGGCGTATTTGTATGTGTACTGTGAGACATGTGTGACATGATGCTTTTTTCATCTATGTCACATGAAAGACCTGCTGAAGCTTGATCTCGCTTGGTCGCATGGACCTACATGTGTGATGTCAAAACCACTGGGACCCAATGTTCCAACGGCAACTGGACATCATTGGCCAATTTGGTGGCCCCACTTCTCGGACAACCCCTCACCTGGGGATAATGCGTTGGTAAGTTCCTGTCACCAGGAACCTCCACCCTGGTTGCCCCATCCTCAAGCCTAGAGGAAACCCGACACCCACCTGAGATCACTTCAAATAACCCGATCAGCGGACGTGCTGAGGAAGTGCTTTTTGCCAACTGGGCCCCAGCGGCTCGAGTCCTCATCGACAACGTGACTTGGCAAGGTGATGATGGATATGAACATCAAAGTTAGCAGGGCTTCAGCTTCTGATTCACATCATTAACTTACCTTGCCGATAGCTAGATGCAGACTTACCCGATGAGTCTCCTTATTTGGTGTTGCGGGGTGGACAGTGTGTGGACTGAATTTTCAAGGCGGTATGTGACGATCAGACGGGGGCTTGTTAGCCCTACTTTTTGAGCAGACATAGCCCGGTCCTGCTTTGATGTGGAGGTTCGGTTGCAAATGTAGCGAATTCTACAAGAGACATGCATTTGTGGTGGAACCGTTACAGGTTTGTTGTGCCAGCTCGCTCACCTTTGATCCATTGAAGTGCCAATCGGTCCAATTATAATATAGATGTGTTTGTCACATCTTTGTCATGCTGCATGGCCTTCCCCCCTTTGGAACGCAAGGTGTTCAGCTGTTCACGGCTGTCTCCTGAGGTCAGTGAATGGTATTCCCTGGCCTTCATTGTTTACCGCCCCTTGCCTGCCAAGAAAGACTTCAAGCCCAAACGGTGAGGCTTCAACCTAAACCGTCCCTGAGCAGAGAATACTCTTTTCCTGGAAGGAAGTCTGTTGGTCAAAGCCCAGAACCCGTTTCTATGGTCAACCAAGGTCCCCCAGTTTGGACCCATAGACCAATGAAACCGGATACGTGTTTCCGGCAAGACCTATCAAACTGAGCCGCAAGTTTGTGGTTCTTGCTGCTTCGATTTTCATGAGTGGGAAGGTCGAGTGGGGAATCAAACTGCGAAAGAATTTATAAATATCATTTGATTCATTTCTCCCCAAGAGTGGCAAAACTACAAAAGGGAATCTAACACAAAGCTTTATTTTGGCAATCCATGTCAAGTCATCCATCAGTGGTTGAATGCAAGAACTTCCTTTGCACCAAGGTTGATGATGAGGTTTTTGGAAAGTTCCCTGATTCAGAAGGCCTAGTCATGTCATTTCAGGCCACCATGAAGTTTGCGTGGCATGTCACTCATGAATCTGATGAAGCTATGTTGAAAGCACCATGTTAAAAGAACCTGGGACTACCAAAGACCTCGTTGACCTACAGTCTGTGGAATGTCGTTCTATCACTGTCCAGCTGCCCAGGTACCTTCGGGGGGTTCAACGTGGAGTCTCAGTTTGTACTCCTGGTTTGAGGTCAGGCTCCAGGCTTTTTTGGTCCCACAAACATGACAAATGGCATCCATACAATTCGAACCCCTACCGTTGGTCGACGAAATGCATCGATCTGTTATAAGTTGCAACCATACCATAGGAAGGAGACGGCCATGACCGCAGGATGGAGGATGACATGCCGTGACCGATTCGCAGTGTTTTCGTTCCGTCTCCTGGGCGCGGACGGGTTCGAGGACGTCTCCACGGAAGGGGGAGTCCTTCCGTGAAGAAAACGAGGAAGCATCATTCGGTTTTTGAAGAGGTTGTCGGTCCAACAGGAGCTGCTGTCGTCCTACAATTTGGACACCTTCCAATCCCCAGACACTCCATGTATTTCATCTTAGCATTACATTGGGGTGGTTTCAGGGGCCAATGTATATGGACTGCGCTCAAAAAGCCCTACTCAAAAAATATAGATAAACGTAAACTTTTAAGGTTGGAGATGTGTTTTTAAGTCTTCGTTTAGAAGCGGCCCCCCAGCAGACTATGGTGATACAGCAAGGCAGCGCTAGGTTGGCGCTAGATTTCTTCATAACAGGATAAGCAAGCAGGAAAAAGAAACAAGCAGAGAGCAGGAAAAAGAAGAAGCAAGACTAAGACAAGAAAAATAAAGAATAAACATAAGAATAATGCACAACAAGAAGAAGAAGACAAGCAAGCAGGACAAATAAGAATCTGACAGGATATAGAAATCGACGGATATTTTTGCGCTAGGCTGGCGCTAGATCCGCGCTAGCACCGCGCTAGACGACGGTCCATTTCTTGACCATTTGCCCATCCAACATCTAAGTCTTTTGAGTCAGCTCTTACATCCTTCCTACGTCGTCCTGAAGATTTCTGAGAACAAAAGTGGGAAAGTCCAGCAGCAGCAGTAGCAGCAACAACAGCTCCAGCAGCTCAACGAAAAGGTCCGCGCTAGACACCTCTCACAGCTTTTGCAGTTGACACGCCTTCATGTTTAACGTCCCTGTGGTTTGTGTGTGCTTGGAGTTTAAAGGAGATTTAGAAGCGGGCCCCCATGGAATTGCGATGAGTGCACCATTTTGAGAAAAGACATTTTGGAAACCAACCATATAGGCATAAGTGGTTTCCAGTCCCAAATATGAATGGGATCTTTCTCTCGTCCGATTTTCGTTCGTTGGCCTCAGGATGTTTCGTGGGATTCGCTGTGTTGAACGTGGTGAACGCTCCTTGGCTCGGTGGCGAGGACGAACGGACGAACGACCGCACACCGCGGTGAGCGAAGGTGTGATTCTCATGGCACGTGCCATGTGGTGCCTCCAGTGCCCCGAATAGGGCTCCAGTGGTTTAGGGGGAGGTGATCACTGGGGATGTGGCACAGGAGGTGCAAGGAACATGCAAACTGATTTGAAGATTCCAGACGCTCCATGTATGCCATAATTGGCCCGCAAAACCACCCCAATGTAGGCAGATATGCCATTTCCATGGAGTGTTTGGGGATGTTGTACTCCTTCACTTCATCCTGGACCCTCCAACGACAAGAATTTTCTTGTTGTTTTTGTTTTTGATTACATTTGCCAGCAAAAACTGTAAACGCTACAATCGCTAAGAACGACATAGTTTCCTGGATTCTTCAGTTTTGGTGTCCTGACTGCCAAAGGTTAAGATGGGACGCTCGACAAGAATTACCCGCAAAACGCCCGCAAATATCCCGCAAACGCTAGCAAATACCCGCAAACGCCCGCAAATCCCATTTCCTTGTCGTTCCAGTTGTTTTCTCTCTGTTTGACTGTGCCGGTAATGTTTTTACGAAACGCTAGGTTTTGTATAGAATCGACAAGAACGACAAGATTTTTTGTCAAACGATTGATTTCAACAAACGACGAGAAATCTCTTTGCATTGGAGGTTCAAGGATGGGATTGATCGACCAATCCCAAAGCACCCGAAGTCCTGGCCCGGTGAAATCGGATGACACATCGTCGCATCTCGGACAGCGGTGCCGTTGCCGTGATCGTTGGTTCCTGTCACGGTCAACCGATGCCAAGCACTGAAGTGACCTCTGAACCGACCTCGTCACTGCGACCGATGCGGCGACCCAGGCCGTCTTCGTGCAGAGTACCATGAAGGTGGCACATGCAGATGACGAGATCGTGGCACATGAGAAGGCGAAGAGTCAAGAGGCCTATCGAAGACGCGCACCTTGGGCGGCCATGACGATGTACCGGGAAGGGTTCGGATTTGCGCCCGTAAGAAGGGCAGGCAGAGAGGATGACAGGGATGAGATGGGATGAGGATGAAAGATGTTCTTGTTTATCCTTTGTGAGGTGGACTTAGGATAGTGGAATTCGATAGAAATAGATAATTAGTGATATAAATTAGTGTCTTTGTCTCTTAGAGCACTCTTTTTTTGAGTCGAAGACAAGGCAGGGTGGTTCAAGCATCCTGGCGAGCAGGTGCTTCTTATCGAGATTCATGTCCTGTAAGTCAACAAATGCAGTCTCAAAATGTCTTACCCTTGTGATTCGTTGTTTTGCATCTTGAAGTGTTCGAGCGTCTGCACTGCTCCTCCTTCAATGGCTGCTTTTACTATGGGGCGTCCATGTCCCGTTCAGTAGCGCATCAACTGAGGTGAGCAAATTATTCTGGGAAGCTGACATCTCAGGAGATGTCATGTGCTGACGGCGCAACTGGGTTCTGTTCTGGGAGGTTTGCCTTAAACACACGGCCCAGCCTGCAACCGCACTGTGGGAATCCATCACTTGCCCGAAAAAACACACAGTTGCTACATGTTGCTACCATGCCCGTCCATCCTGCCAACCAAGGGACAATCATCTCTCACTACTTTCATCAGGACTCCGTTGACAAGAAAGGTCAGGAAAGTGTGAGATGTGACAAGTAAGGAGCAAACATCTGCCACCCTGGAGAAAGGGCCTTGACCACTCGCTTCTTACCGCGCTTCGCCGTGAGCCCTTCGGTCCCACGTGAAGCGCGCGCAAGAACGCCGAATCTTCGGGGCCGAGGACTCGGAGCCGACGGACGGGACGGCAGGAGATGGTTTTATCGACTTTTCGGAGTTTAAACGCCTTCTGGAGCATCCACAGCTCCAGGCGAGGAAGTGGCAGGAAGACAGTGTGGCGAGAAAGTGTGTGAGGAGGGTGTGTTAAGCATAGGAAAACGACTTCAGCACGGGCTTTTTCGGGGCTTTAAAGTTGCACGAGTTTGCCTGAGGTTTGTTGGAGTCCTATCACGTGCGTGCCATATGTATATATATATATATTCAAAAGGAATTGTTGTCTTGTCCTGTTCATGACTCTTGATTGCATCATTGTGGTATGGTTCTTCAGTCATGGATCGAACAATCAGGTTTGGTTATATCAGCTGGAGATTGAGACCGGCGCGCCGTGGACACGAAGAGATATATGTGAGATTAAGGTGAGATTGGCCGACGACCCGACACAAGAGACCTCATGTAGAGATACTGAGTCGAGACCTTACAGAAAGAACTTGGAGTTTAATCCACCAGGAAAAACTACTCTAGAGATACCCTCAGTATCTCTTGGAGTTCGACACCATCATTCATCCACCCAGGATGAGCGACCGAAAGAAACCGTCCATATATTCGGGGAGAGGCCGCTAGTCGGGGAGAGGCCGATCAGAAGCCGAGAGAGGGAAGGTCAAGAAGGTCAAGGTCAGGTCCCACAGAAACATGGGACGCAGACAACATGGGGAAACAAACATGACCTTCACCAGACCCTGATCAAAGACCTTGATCAGCTATGACTGACTGGGTTCTCATGTTGCAGACATGTTCGTAGAAGAGATGACCATGTTGCTCTGTGACACGCAAAAACGGAGAAGAGATCCGGTCCTATCCTATCACAATAGCTTCAAGAGATCCCAGAGAAAGCAACTGTGCAGAAGTCAACAGAGCTCTTACAGATCACGCAGATATCATCTCAGATATTGAGACCTTCCAGAAAAGGTGGAACAATCTTTAGAACTCTTTGACACAAATCTACTACGTCCCAAAATCTTGACCACAGACCTTGCAGATCCACATGTACTTCTTGTGGTTCTGAGGATTTGGAGGGGCTTTTTCGCCTTTTGGATGATGGAGATGGAGAAATCTCTTTGGACACTGGGCCGGTAAGGTGGCACCCGCTTTGGGCAACGCCACCCTGTTGTCGCCACTGCAGCATGTTTGCGCTGGCAAACATGTCCAGCATCAGCACGGTGCACCTGTATGACGACATAGTCTACCAATGCACAATTGCACCACCTTGTCGGCTTGCAACAGCACCTGAGTTACTTGCGGGCTTGCCCTGACTATCGGACCCCCATGTATGTTGAGGACTTGAATCCTAATGGCCCATGGGTTTGGGTGCATTGCCTTCAGTGGAGCATCTCGAGGAGGACCACCAATTCAGCACCAGGGTTTCTTCCTTGTATGGCCCAGGAAGAGTTTGAGGCTGGAGTGATGAAGTTGAAGGGCTTTGCCAGGGCATTTGATCTCAACAAACTCCAACGACAGGCGCAGTGTGCTGGGGTGGTTCAATGGAGCAGTGTAACATGGGCACCGCTGAGGTCCAAAACTCGGCGGGCAGCGCTTGAGAGTTTCGCCCAGAGGGATCGTCCGACCTTTTCGGGCATCCACGTTATACCCTATGGATCCACATACCTTCTCAGAAGGAAATTGGACCCTCCAAGCCTACACCTTCTCAGAAGGTATGTGGATTCATAGGGATATGTGTTTTTACTGCAGCAGCACTTCTATTTCCGCGGGGGACCTGTTCCCAGGTTTGCTGCAGACAACACCCAAGAGCCAACTGTGCATTTAGCCGTGCTTTTTGCCAAAAGTTGTTTGATGACCAACGGATTTCTTTTATTCTCTTCGGCAGGTGCGGAAGATGAATGCCAAAATGGATTTGCTGATTCACAACAGCGGCCTCTCTCATTTTCGGCCTCCTGATGATGTGGGTGTTGAGATGGGATCGGACAAATTTTGGGGGATGCGGAGAGACCGGAAGCCACAATCTTCAGGCAAGTCGGATAAGCTGACTCCCATGAAATGGTCACCATCATCCATTTAGCTCCTCTTGCGCACATTTAACTCATCTTTGAGTTTAGCCTTTTTTGTGATTGAATTGCGTGCACATGATACATGTGCGTTTACCTCTGCTGTTATTCGCATTTCCAGCTGTGGCGGATACAACTTGCCATTCCAAAGTGGTAGCTCTCACTGTGCGCCGGTGTATTTGTAGCAATAGAATAAATATGCTAATAAGTAATAGGTAGATTTAAAAAAATGTATATATTTATATATAACTATATATATATACACATATGTATGACACGTGTATATATAGTATGCCTGGGTGTGCAATCTATTTACTGTAGATAGCAATATTTGATCTTTGTACTTTGACCGACTGATGACTTGTCTCGTTAGACCTTCGAACGAAGCCTGAAGAAAACACCCCCGGCGAAGCTTCGATGCTTTCCCCTCCTTGAGACCCACCGTTTCGCTTTCGCTTCGCTGGCGTGCGAGCGAAGCGCGTCTCCTGTCTCCGTCTCCTGCTCGCTTCGCGGCTCCACGCGCCTCTCAGGAACGACAAGCCGAAGGGCCGCGCCATGTCGTCGCCGGGATGTTCCGAAACCACTCCACCCTTCTGGGCCAAGCAGGGTGCCTCAGATCGAGGAGTCGGAGAGGTGACCGGTTTGGTGTGGCAGCCCGGAGAGGTACCGTTGCGTGGACAGTGGGTCTCCGGCGTGGACAGTGGGGATGGGAAATGAGCTAACATGTGACAGTTTGCATTCTTGAGTGGTGGAGTCAATGAAGTGAGAGGTTGCTGGTTTGAGGATCTATGTGTCAAAGATGGTCAAAGTGCCAAGAAAGCAATTGTGCAATGCATGCTTTGTCCATCTAAGCTGGCTATTTGCCGAAGGATCCACCCTGCCTCATGCAGGGATTAGGGAATTTATTTGTGGGTGCATATATGCATGCAATCGGACTGTAGCATGAAGAGTATATATCATGAGGTTGTGGGCCGGTTCCCCCACAGCTATACTTGAGGCAGGAACCCATGACATGGATATGGAATAACCTGCTAAATCCTGTGGCCCGATATTCATTTGGTACCTGCATAACCCTTTGCGGGTACGCACCAGAGGTGCCCACATACTTGTTTTTGACGGGTAAAATCTCTGATGTCCAGCTGGTTCAACTGATGTCAACCTGTTATTTCTATCCTTTGTGCAACTCCGAACAGCTGTGGTGGCTACCCGGCTGCCCGGCTACCCCGAGCTTAGCGCAGGAACCGGGGCCTTTCGCGAGATACCTTCTGAACGCAGCTGATCGGATCACCGATTTCTGACGCAAACCCCCGAAATAAGGAAAGAGATGCAATTGTTTCATATATTTTCCTTCACCGCACCCGTTCTTGATATGATTTGTTCTCATGTTCTATCATGCATCACAGCCAATAGAGAACTCATCCGGGCAGAGCTTCATCCCCAAAGCTCCGGGAGACGTTTTGAAAGCGTCGTAGAATCTGGAACCGGGCATCGACCGCGAGAGATGGGCGACGGTGCTTTGAGCTCGGGCAAGCAGACACATCAGACACTGGCTTTGATTCGGACATGTGGTGTTTCTTCAGTTTCTTCACGGCCCATGCCCATGCTCTTCTACTTAACTGTGACGTTTGGACCCGATGGCCGATGAATGGTTGCTTTTGCAGATTTCCAAGTGACACTATACTGTGCGTGGGGACTGGGTCCAGTTCAATTGACTGATCTGCGCTCAGAGTTTATACTTTGGCATGATTTGGTGTAGGAACTATAGCTTGACAAGCTAAAGGACGGGTGTACCGTTTCCAACAAAGACAGCAGTCCGGCTTAGATGTTTCGATTGGCAATGAATTTGCTCCAGGGCTTTGTCGGCCACACACATGGAAAACCCTGGCGGTTCGCCCTGACCTGGTGACCTGAACGGCGCCTCTCTCCTGCCCATGTCCGGTCTGTTGACACTTGGAGACAGAGGTGAGGCCCAAAACCAGCCAACACATGAGATTGGATGGTGATGGAAGTAGGAATACATTGGAGTAGCATGAAGTGCCCTGGGCTGCGTTGGCCGTGTCAGCAGGAGACAACCCAACCCACTCCAATAACTTATGACATCCAACATCCTTGGAAGTTGTGTGGTTTTGGAAAGCTGAGAGTGGGACCACAAGAACTGAAACTACGAAAGGGTTTGACGGGTTTCAGATCTAGCATCACCTTCAAATTGAGTTGGAACGCAATCATCAACCTTTTCAGCGGGTATTTTGACATCAGCATTTAGCATAAAATTGATTGTCACCCTGAATAGGCGGACGCAAACCCCAAGCTATGCCACAAGTCCACTGCCATGTTCGCTCATGTCATAGCAATTGTCCTCTTGAAGCATGGTGCAGTGGTTGCATCAAGTCTCTCCTTTGTCTCTGTTTTGCTTGCGGGTGCATGCTTGGCTTTGTTGAGTGGCATGGAGGACTGTGGAAATCCGACCATCATTTTTGCTCATTCAACATCGGCTTGGACTCCTATTGGCGGACAACTGTTCGGGGGTTGAAGAGATGTTGAGCCTTTCAAAGGTTGAAATGCAACGAAGATTGGTGGCATGTTTATTGCATGTCAGAGGTCAAAGTACCTTGCGGATGAAGAATACATCAGCTGTGAGGTCCACGGACGGTGCAGATCCTCCCCTGTTTTCTTCGGACGGTCAGAAAGGCTAGGCAACAAGTCATAGAACTACTTAGGAGTGCCGTAGGAGCACGATGGACCCAGAAAGATGCTAGCAAAGTTCCAACCTCCATGTCTTCAGAGCACCCTTCGGAGCCCATGTTTGTTGGGTTAAGCTTGGCTGTCACTGCCGACTGGGCTTCCGCCGGAGGCTTCAGAAGCGGTTGATTCGGCTTTTCTCAGATCGTCGAAAAAACTGCGTCTTATGCCCCAACTTCCCCAGCTTCTGCACGCATTTGATCGCTGAAAGCTGGCGTGCTCCTGGATGGTGGGAACGCCAACACTTGACAATTGAAACTATCCAAAGATTATCCAAAGTCTCCCAACGACCGCGGCCTGGTTGGTGGTGAAACTCCCCCAAAACTGGGGGCTTGATCCGCATGGAAGGGCCGCCCGACTCGTCCCAGGCTTTTTCAAAAGAACCGTCCAAAGCTACTTGAGGCCTACTGTACCTGTCCGACATGGCACGGGCGTGTAATTGTTTGTTTGGTCTCCCTAAGTTGAATATGCACACCCATATAAGCTGAAGATGTCTTGACCTGCGTTTTGGGACGTTGCTGTTCCAGGGCTCTATCCCCTTCTATGCACCGAGAGCGATCGGCGAGACATGCGAAGAGCGAGCGAGCCGCTCGCGGCAGCAGGGGAGAACAACGTGGATGTTTGAAGCATGTGCTAGGATGCTTAGGGGTAGCCATGGAGGTGGAACCTGGGTGGATATATACGCAATATATATATATAACATAATAAAGTATATATTATATATATATGTATATATATATAGATATCACCTGGCTCTATGTCATTGACACTTGGAACACCCGTTCTTCTTCTTCTCCAGCAGTGCAAGAATGGTGGCCCTCACATAGGGTAAAATATGGTTTTCCATGTTCCCTCCCTGCCCCAACAGTCTAGAGTTCTTTCATTTGGACTCCTGATCGCAAGCGGATTGATCCACGCTGGCCCCCTATCCTCTCTTCGCATTTGCCGTGTCCTTGACCAATTTTTTCGTGCCGTCCAACACTGGCACAGCGCCTGAAAGGAAAGAAGTGGAGTTTGGCAAAAAAGAGTGGCAGTCTTCATTGGACTTATATATATATATTATATGTATATCTATATGTATACCAGCTCAATGAACCCTGGCCAAATTAAGACATATATTGCAAACATTGCAAACTCTGGTTGTTGAGGCTTAGTGGACACATAGTATTCATTGCATAACCTCTCTCAATTGCTCCCACAACGAGTCAGTTTGTTGAGTCTTTGCTCGGTGCTGCCAGGACGTTCTTTTGGATATGTTCCAGTGGAAGAAGCGGCCGAAGAGCTTGTCTACAACTGTAGTGACGAGATAACAAGGCAGCTTCTGATCATACATGTGCAACTTGTAGAACCTATATAGGCGGATTAGGAGGCTCCTCATGTTCCAAATGCCAACGAAGTTCTGCACTTTGAATCCGGCGCGCTTCCGACCCCGTAGGCTTAGGCTCAAGGCCTTTTGCTGCTTCGTGAAACAGTCGTCGCCGGACGATTCCTCCCATGGATCCTCTGAAGGAGGAAACGCAATACTATGAGAGGTTCAAAGATATGCTGGGAGAAGCTGGGTTCAAAAATAAGCTGCTTAGGGTGTTTTTTGGGCGTGCGCTGCGTTCTGCTCAAGACCAATCAAACCATACACGTGCAGAGATGAACACTGCGGATATTGTTGTGTTTAACCGTTTTGTTTACCACATCCTCTTTTCCATGTGTTTCTTTTTGTGCATTGGCATGGAGCCAGGGGATTTGTTTGTTTCTTCGTTGGATTCTCATGGATGACTGGAAGTTGATGTGTCGATAGCCGAGCTAACTTGTCCCTCACATCGTGGGGCTTTTCTGACCGCCTTCGCTCCGAAAGATGCCAAGACATTTATGACTTCCATCGTCCACCTGATTCCACTGCCGCCAAGAAATAGTGGAACCAGAAGATATAGCTACAATTATACCTATATGTTTTGTTTCTCAGTCGCTACGTCCACCTGCCATGTATTGCATCTCTTGAAATGAAACGCCTGCACTCGCCTGGCGACGTGAAAACCGAGACTTCCACCGGAGTGGTGGAGACACGTGTTGGAGACCGAAGAAACAGATGAAGAAACGACACTCAAACGGAGTGGTGGAAGTGGAAGTGAAGGCCCCCTGGAAGACGAATATAAAGATGTTCCTGCTTCTCAGTGGAGCCTGCGGCCTGCTTCCATGATTGTCTGAGGGGAGGTATGCCATAGAAACTGCGACCGGATGAGTTGGAAGTATCATATACAGTATACAGATGTATGCAGTAACTATATCTCAACTCAGCATTTTTGTCAACAACTTTGTGTGGGAAATAGAGCTCGCTGAATCTAGAAGTTCAGCCATGTCTGTTCTTCACTCTCATGGATTCAAACGACTTCGGCGAGTCGACGCACTCAGCGGACTCCACCGATGGCGGACTCCGGTTTGGACTTAGTGGACGAGCGCCGAGGAGTTGGAACAGCTGCATTTGGCAGAGGCGCAGAGAGTTTCGGGTGGTTTCGAAGGACAGTAGCTCGCTCCGCTCTGGTAGAACGTTGGGCAGGTGCTGAGAGAAACATGGCCATATGATGCCACATGTTTGAGGATTTCTTTGAAGAATTCGGAGATAGATCTCCGGTGTTGGGTCTGTTTTCCAGCTTGGCTTCCCGAACCATTGTCTATGAGGATCAACTTCAAGCCCTTGACCAGCGGTGTGGGTTTCATCATGTTTCATCTATCAGAAGAATCTATCAAGCTTCTTGTTACTAGTAGTAAGAATGCTCCTAGTAGCGATGCCAGGAACCCCTAGTAGCGTCCTTGCTCCTAGTAGGAAGGCCAGGAGCCCCTAGTAGCTTCTTGTTACTAGTAGCTTGTAAGCTTATAATGTTTCATCATGTTTCATCCACCTGAGAAGTGATGTATTTTTTTGATCGTGCGTAGAGATGAGAATGTATGGACCATGGTGACCATGGGCATGTGTTTGGATCAATGAAGCTTGTTTGCTGTCCGTTTTGGGGATCCCTTCATATCCCTTCCTGAACGGAGGTTTGTGTAGCCGTGATGCCAGCTTCCGATAGTCGCACTCCATGCACATGCGCTGTTGGGGATTTTGTGAGAACTAAAGGCCCTATTAAATTGCTGGCCCATGCTTGATGTCGTGAGGGTATTGAGGGGATCGAATGCTGGGTGAGGCTAATTTGAATAATCGCAGTCAGATTGGGAGCCCAGGGAAGATTCTACAGATTGGTCTCAGCTGTTCATCAGACGGTCACTCTTGGGGTAGCCAAGGTTTGCCCTGAACACCAGTTCTTAGGGTCCAAACCCGGCTGTGGCAACCAGCACGAGCGTTCAACCCAGCAACCAATCCACTCCGATTCATGTCACACAACGGCCTCTCTTTTGGCCTCCCAAACTGGACCATTCTAGTGGATTTGCACGCCGCAAAGGCAGTCATACCAAAAAACTCAGGAAAGACTGAATCAAACAAATATGAACAAGTCCTTTGAAAGACAAATAAATGAATCAAACAAAAGAGTGCTTAGCAA